GCAAGCAGGCTCAAAACACACACAGAAAGCAGGCTCAAAACACACACAGAAAGCAGGCTCAAAACACACACAGCAGGCAGGTACAAAACACACAGGGAAAAAACCTGAAGGAATGGCATCATAAAGAATATGGATGAAAAATGAGGTTTGCAGGTGTATGTGTGTGTGTGTGTACTCTGGGCCAACACCCAGTATATTTGAATGTCAAAAAGAGCATTTGGACCAAAGTATTTTGCCTGTTCAACCCTAATGTATCTGCCAGTCAAGCACACCTTGTGGTTGCCTCCAAATTATGACAAAAGGCCTTTTATCTTTACATGGAAAATCATGATAAAAGGGTGAATATCTATCATGTTAGTTTACAGAGAAATTGAGTTGACACTAATATTACCTAACACACAACACCAAGATTAACACCTGATTTGGGTTCATCATTTTACATTTCCAATACATGAGACAAAACACTATTAACTGGTGCTCAAATTTACAGCAATGCTATCACTCACATTCAATGCAAACATCTGTAACATCCTTCCACAATATCATCAGGGCAGGTTGGTCATCCATCAGACAGTGTCGTGGAGTCAGGCAGCTGACATTCACTGAGGCCCGCAGCACTTCTGGGGTGGTGCTGTACATCAAGATCACAATGCACAGCGAGCCTAAAAAAACAGAGCGTTTCTCTGCAGCAGCCAATCAAACAGGGGTAGATCAATAATGTATAACAACAGACATCGACGGAAGCGAGCACGCCTCCCGCGTTACGCCCCGTACCGGCGCCCCTCGCAGGTTCGGTTCGGTTGTCGGCGGATCTTGTACTTAGCCATACAATTGAACTTGATATTTTCAAAGTGCCTTCTTGCCTCTCGGAAATATTATACATGATCAAAGACATATTTATACACCATGTTGTATTAATGTTCATCTGCAACATCGATGAAATGGGGCATCAAAAATTTTCGACTTTTGGCAGTCTTTTCCATGGACAGCATGAAGTCAGGCCTGTCGCACAGAAATGACTGCATACTGCAGGAACAAAGAGCAATAATGCCATACATTGCACAAAATAACATAATTAATTAGCCAAATGGTCTGATTTACAAACATACTCAACATCATTAAATCACAAACTTTTCTTCATTTACTCATGCCCTGGCATCATTTATGACCAGGGGCGTGGAAACTGCAATATGGCCGCCACAGCTGAATGTCGGAGAAACACAGGATAGGCCCTGCAGCACTTCATAATAAAACCATTCAACACAGCACCCAGCCCAATTTCTTGTCATGATGGCTGCAGCTCAACACATTATGAAGGGGCAGATCCAGACATCCTGATCCAGCAGCACCTCATTCAGGGGGATGCCAATTTCACTCTGGGGGTGAAAACTCTACACACACATACAAAACCTCAATGCTGTTGGTGCTGTTTTATGAGGTATCTGAAAATACCACAACATATACACACTTGGCAAATTATTCTGCAATAACAAGTCACCATATTACATGACACATCTCTGCCAAACAAGGACATTGATAGCGGCTTGCATGGTTGGCCCAGCAAGACTGCCATGATACTGCAAGACATTGCATTGTAAGACCCCACACTATGATGTTTTAATGTTGTGCAATGGATTGTCAGTAAAACCACATGTACAGTAAAGGAAATAGTTCACATCCAAGGCAATCAACTTTCACAAAAATCCTACATAAACATGAAAAGCTTTTGCTTTGTTGCTTTTCCATCAGTTATAGGTATTAAGTACAAGAAACCCATTCCTGGTGTACAGATCAGATTATTTACTTATTTACCCTGTAGCCCATGCAACTATCTGTAGTTACACATTTCTGGGCATTTTCAACCCTTTACCTTCCCTGGTTACACACTGGTTACAATGTGTGAAAGCACTCCCCCTGGTTATGCTGTGTTAAGCCTAACATCCCAAAAGTTTAACATCCATTTGGACATTTCGAAGTTAGGGAAAGGAATCAAAATCAAGCATGGTGCTCATACATCAGACGCAAGCTAATGGTACATGGGTTGAAGGTCTTAAACTGTTAAAAAAGAAAGCATGGTTTGCACCCATACTTGGGATAATGTTCACCTGTCTAAACCACCTCCCCTGGTTTATGTCTCCATTCCCCCCACCCCCTCCCCACCTCCTCACCCCATACCCACTCTTCCCACTGCACATGCCACAAAAAACTTCAGTGGCTGCCTAACCTGGCTTCAGACCATGGAATGGCAGCATGTAATGCCTTTAACCTTGAAGGAACAGTGTGCCTTTGGCCCAGCTACCTTACCATATAAAGGGAGATGAACAGTGACTAGCTTATGTGATATGGTATCAGGATCATATTCTTCCCAGCTAGCTTTCCTGGTAGAGAACTGGACTCAAAATACAAAGCCCCTAGCTGGAACTCAAGCAATTCTGAGGAGCAAATTCAGGATGTGATGCATGGCTGAAGGCCCAAATGCCATTTAGTCTCTTTGAACCAATGAGGAGTGACCCTCAGTGGTTAGGACACTCATTTAGTGTATATCAGTCTTTCCCTTAAGATGTAGACAAGAGAGCCCTACACAACAAGTCCTTAAAAACTTGTCCAAGGCTTGGAGCATCTTTTATTCTTAAAAGTAATTATTCTGTACTCTGAGTTGTGCTTTCCAATGACATGGACATCCTTCCATCCCTCTGGGCACCTTTTCCATCCCTGCCATGTTTGGGCACCTGTAGGTCCTTATGACTATGGCTGCCCTGTTCAGGTCCATGCCTATGTCCATTTTGGGATGTCATCATGGAACTACATCTAAGAGCAGCCCCCGGCAGGGCACCATACTTGTCAAATAGGGGAGGGGAGCTGTTCAGATCCATCTATATCCCAGCCTCTGGATCCACCCATGGCATCATATGCAGGTGCAATATAATGCAAAATAAAACTTACTTTTCCTTATAAACGTACATGTATTCAAAACATTATAAATGCTAAAAAAGATCTAACACCTTGGTGAACAAGTTTTCTACCTTAAAACCATCTGGCATGTCAGGAACTTACCCTGCCTAGCACACCACAGGTATATCTGCAAGGTGATGAGATATCAACATACTCCTTACCCAGGTTGTGAGAAATTCATGGACTCAGCCACAAACTTTAAGTCCAACTTCAAGTAGGTATACAGGAGAGAACATGACAGCATGCATGGAAAGGTGCCATACCAGCTTGTGTACCATTTGTGTGCCACAAAAACAGCAAAGATCCCCCATTTGTTTCAAAAGTTGATCAGGCTTGTCAAGCTGGCCAAGCAATGGAGGTAGTGTCTTGGGAATACATAGGAATTAATTATGTATGCCATATCAGAAAGATATGAGCACCACAAATCCCATTGCATCACATGTTATGGCTCTAGGTGTCGACTCCAACTGAAGCCATCTCCTGAGGTCCCGATTATTGACCGCCGCTGTTAAATGTGAATGTTCGGCGTTGGCCAAGGAAAACAATCAAGCAGCAACAGCACTCACAATCAAGCACAAACACGTTCATTTGTCACATATCTACATGCAATTACACATGCACAAAAAGGACACCAACAGAAACGTACCCGAAGAGCCGGCATAGATCAGCGTAGTCCAGATATATCGAGCATTGTATAACCAACTAATGCAGCCCTCCGCCCCCGACTTTCTGCCTTCTCTTTTCCCCCGCGCTTTTACACGCCGACAACGCGCCGTGTTCCCAATGTTTGCGTGCATTTATGGCGCGAAAATTTTCTGAATATTTCGTTCGCGATACGTTAATCATTGACCTTGATTAGCACTTTACGTGACAGCTTATGACAGTTTTGGACATATTATTCATAGCAAAAAAAAATCCTGATGAAGACATTGTCTTGAACCTTCCCAGAGTGTTATAAAATGGGTGCATGACGTAACATTATCATAAGCGTGTATGCTACACCACCAATGGCAATGAATGGGTATAAATGTACTACAAATAGCTTAAAGTAACAAAAAGACCAAATACTATGTCCAACCATGACTCAGTCCTTATTTGTATCTTTAATGGAATAATTTTGTTCCAATAAGTTTTCGACTCAGAACATCACCTGAGAACGCCTTTGGTTCTAGCATATTCTCCGACCTGCTGGTGTAGAGATGGACAAACAGAATGGTTCTAACAAGAAATTTTCTCTATGCGTATTTTTTATTATAATATATTTAGCATTTGAAATGAACAGCAAATTTTGAACCTACTTCTATGATGGAACATGTTCAGATCTCTATATTTGATCATATGCTGCATTAATACACCAAAATTTTGGTGACGATGACGCATTTTAGACAAGCGTTCTAC